AGTAACCAAAATGTACTAAACGTGAAACTAGGCTACTCTTAATGCAAAATGGCCCTATATAAAGTGTTATAATTATATACATTTTTGGAATATTGCTTGATGTTGTAACGTAGCGTTATCAGGCAGAATGAGCTTTAACACGGTGTCTACACCGGACGCGGCCGTTACTGCTCGCGTCGCAACAGCTGTTTACCCGAGACAAAGCAGAATCAGTTTATTGTCGGAGATCGCTCGCGCCATGCATTTTAATCAATGTTTCATCAACCAATTGCCTTAATAAATAAGAAGTAGGCCTAAATATAGCAGACAATATAATCAGGACTTCTCAGCTGCGCGCTTGCAATAGTCACAAGCTCACACAATACGTGACAGAGGCTTGTAGCAGAGAAATCAATTCTGTGACTTACACTGCGCAAATCACAAGTAGGCTACTACCCATCGGATGAAGAAGGGTTGGCTCTCAGTCTCCTCAGGCTACATAAAATATTCGTTTTATTTTATTTTTCGTGTTCGCATTTATGAGGAAAAAAAACAATGTTACAGACGCGACAGTTCAGCACTACGGACGTGAGCGCTCTGAAAGCGGCACTAAAATATGCTTTGAAACTTTCACATAGACATCAAACAGAAAGCACAAAACCTTTCGTTTCAAAGTGAATTTCGTTTTGTATTAATTGTATCTTAATTTTAATCAATGTTTCATCAACCATTTGCCTGGATTTAATTTATAAGAAGTAAATATAGCAGACGATAGATAATCTCGACACGGAGGCGCCTGCGGGTGAACTGGAGCTCGTCTCATGAACCGAAACTCAGCGTATAGACCTGAGAATTGAAATAAATCTATATTGAAATGTCTACTTTTAAACAGAACAATTCAAAACGAAAGACAGACAGACTCATGTAATCATATGAAATGTGCATTTCTCTCTGGCACGCGTTCACTGAAGATCGCGAGTCAGCATCGTCAACTTCATCTTTGGCTGACACTGACTGAAAACACTTGTTTATTAATAAACAATTAAAATGTCTCCTTGCTATATTTGTTGTATTCATAATCATTACTTTTGCCAGTTCTTGTGACAGCTTTTAGATGCTTTATTGGCAGCGCCACCCTTACATGAATCACCGCACCCGCATTTTTTTAAATATTAATTTATCGGCCATTATAAATGCCGATACCGATAGTTCAGAAAATGCCTAAAATCGGCCGATAATATCGGCCCGCCGATATATCGGTCGGGCTCTAGTACATAGTGGTCATAAAGGGATGGACATGGTCAGAAACAATGCTCAGGTAGGCCGTGGCATTTAAACGATGCCCAATTGGCACTAAGGGGCCTAAAGTGTGCCAAGAAAACATCCCCCACACCATTACACCACCACCACCAGCCTGCACAGTGGTAACAAGGCATGATGGATCCATGTTCTCATTCTGTTTACGCCAAATTCTGACTCTACCATCTGAATGTCTCAACAGAAATCGAGACTCATCAGACCAGGCAACATTTTTCCAGTCTTCAACTGTCCAATTTTGGTTAGCTCTTGCAAATTGTAGCCTCTTTTTCCTATTTGTAGTGGAGATGAGTGGTACCCGGTGGGGTCTTCTGCTGTTGTAGCCCATCCGCCTCAAGGTTGTGCGTGTTGTGGCTTCACAAATGCTTTGCTGCATACCTCGGTTGTAACGAGTGGTTATTTCAGTCAAAGTTGCTCTTCTATCAGCTTGAATCAGTCGGCCCATTCTCCTCTGACCTCTAGCATCAACAAGGCATTTTCGCCCACAGGACTGCCGCATACTGGATCATGTTTTTCCCTTTTCACACCATTCTTTGTAGACCCTAGAAATGGTTGTAGCATTAATATAACAGGTATGAATTCACTTCAGTCCTTCTTCCCAAATCTCGTTTGAGATATTAATTCCAGTGTCATTCCCATGCTACTTTGAGGTGATCTGAAGACACTGAAAAATGAGAAACATACAAGGAAACAAACCGTGTCACCAACTGTTTGGCCATAGGGGGTTGACCCAAAAGATAATGATCCTGAGGCAGTTGCTGAAACTCAGTAAAAGAATGTTTAATGTAGTGGCGCACCTGTAAATATTGAAAATATGTGATTGGGAAAGATCAAAGGTTTTATACAAGTGCTCGAAAGTGGCACATTTTCCATATAGAAGTACTTAACCATGGTCAGTCCTTTCCACAGTCAAAATACCTCATCTGTCTGGCCAGGCAAATAATTATGATTATCACAAATGGGTTGGAGCACTGAAGGACATGTAATATTCAAAACAGTCTTCAATTGAAATTCTAATGGAATGGAGCACAACTACATTTTTACATTGTGACTTATTTAAAGATACAGGGTTCGAGAAAAGAATAGCAGCAAGGGAGCTACTAACAACTGACCAAGCCTCCATGTACAGCACTTGGGTTGGGTGTCCATCAAGTTATTATCGGCATCTTGATCACTAATCCGCCAGAACATCATAGCCCTGGCATTAGCAGCCCAATAATAATGATGGGAAACAGGAAGCGCTAGACCACCCAACGGGTTCAGCTTCTGCAAATGGGTCTTCGTTAAGCATCGTTCCAACGAACATTCGCAAACAGCATCGCAAAGTTGTGTGGTTAACGACAGATCTGGAGCTGTGGTTAGCAGTTTCTAGATTGCATGACATGTGGACTTAATAAATCCTGATCTTGAGCAAAATAAGCAAGCTGTCATTCAGTGCAACTGTGTCTTTTATTCAGAATACATACAAATGTCATTTACGTCTTTGAGTTTGTCAAGAGATTTAAAGCGTTGTTCTTGAAGAGTGTGTATGTGTGAACGAGCTCTAGTGTGTAAGAACGAGTCTATGATTGAATCTGGAAATAAAGCGAAATAACTGAGAAAAAGAGAAATAGTCATCAGATGCCATGTCTGTAATTTATATCAAAACATCTAGCATTAAATCGATCTCAAAAAGATTCATTACAATAAGTTATTACTCCACCATGTGCGTGACGTCATAAGCCAACGTGGTTGAACACCCCTTTGTGACAATATGGTTTCGGGAAACAGTCGTGACGAGCAAGTTGATTTGTTTCAACGGTGCGTCCTATGATAGTGAAGCATCGAGTTACGACGTTGTACGGGAAACACACCCCAGAAAGATGACATCACGGTTTACTCCAGAGCGGCTATATACATATAAATTAACTAAATTAATAACTAAAAAAAATAAAAAACATCACCGAACTTCAAAAGACAACTGAAAACTCATCTCTTCCGTGAGCACTTAACATAAATAAAAAAATAAAAATTCTTTCCTTTTCCTTTAAATCCTCGCTCGTCTGGCTTATGCTACTCTGAGCAATGTCTGAACTTTGTATTTTGAGCACTTCTTGCGTTGTTTTTGCCTCTTCACGATGACTCACTTGCTTTAGTCCTCAGTTGTAATTCGCTTTGGATAAAAGCGTCTGCTAAATGATTAAATGTAACTTAATTAAGCTGAACTGTGAATTAAAGCACCTCTAATAATGCACCACAACTAAACACATATGCTGTATACTTGCTTAATATACTTCCTGAATCCAGCTATAAATAGACATAAATAGATATAAGGAGAAGGATTTCCATGTATAACGTGTATATTCCGTTCTGTTTTGGTTTTGCTTTCACACTGTTTGCTCTGTTCCCTGTGTTCTGTTTGCCTGTGTTCATAATTAGTTCACGGATACTCATTCACTCTCCTGTTAATCATTGATTATTAGATTCTGTTCAAGCTCAAGGACACGTCACAATAACAGTGAGGAACAAACAGTGAGTTCAAACATAATAAATGGACAGTAGACATTTGCCCAGTCCAAGACATGAGCAATTGCAGTTGCATATTGTATTCAGTTGAATAGAAACAAATATGAATTATATGATCAATAAGTTATGACATGTTTTAACATTTTTTTTTAGAAGTTATACAAGATTCAACTCATTTTAAGTCAGTTTGATGTAATTTAGGTTGAAATGACTTAAATATCCAAGTTGTATTGAACTTAAAAATTTATGGCAGCAACTTATTTTTTACATATTCCTGTGTTTTGAGTAATTTTGAATTATGAAATAAAGACTATTTGAGTATTCTCCTTCGTTGTGCGATTTGACCAGCTTTAAATGTGAAACTATGTTTCCAGAACTCAAATGTATGATTAAAGCTGGAATTTGACAGCACATTAAAGTCCATCATGTCTACTATTTTAACCCCTTATGCAACCAACATCTCAATAAAATTTCACTTTATTTGCTTGTCTTTTATTGCTTTGGCATGCAGCTTAGTAAAAAAAAAAGCCATGTCACTTTGCTCAACACATCCGAGTACAAAGGTCAAAGGTCTGCCTGTTTGACCTCTCAGGTTAAATAACCACAGATCCATGTGTTTTTATGTAAAGTTTAATAATAATAAAAAACAGACTAATAAATAGGTTTTAGTACTGCTTCATTAATTTCTTGTAACACAGAAGTGCGTTATGCCCTATTTTACATGTGGACGTGGCACATCTGGTCTGGTTCACCCTGGATATTTTACCCACTGTGCTTAAGATTACCAATACGATAATATTTACCTATTACTAGGTAAGAATCATCGCTAGTAGAACAAAACACAAAATATTATCCCGACAGCACTGTTAAAATACTTCCAGTGTCTTATTCCAGGAATGTCCATTTGTTCACATAACAGTTTGTAATGGTCTAAATGCTTCTCGACACACTATGTGCTGTAAACCTGCAGCTTTGTGTCATTACATAATCACTGTGCTTCATTAATTTGCATGTTGTCATTAAAAAAAATACATTTAAGACATTTTGAAAGCAATGATGTCAGTAAAACCTTTTTTAAAAATGAAATCATTAGGGTCCATCCAGTTTCATTATTACTTTAGGAGGAGCTGGAAAATTACAGTGTCCTGTATATTCACAGTATATGGATGAGTTATTATTTATATTTTTATAAAACCGTCTTAATTCATCTTTTTCTCCTCGAGTCCATTAGAGGTTTGGTGCTTTGGAGTTGTGCTTTTTCCTGAAATGGCTGGGATCACTTTGTCAAAAAGAAGCAGAGAGCCTGTCATACCTGGAATGAGTGGAAAACCAGCATGAACCTCTGAATATACTGGTGAAACACGGAGAACTGCACATTTCTCGCTGTTATTAACAAATGTACTATATGAGTGAACATCCATGGGCTGTATCTGGTTTGGTTTGGTTTGTGAGTATATAAACATTTAGAAAGTATTCTCAAACATTCTGCTGCAGTTTTAGTTTTTCATGAGTATCATGCAAATGTGTTTTTATTCTGGATATATTTTGGTCACACTTTACAATAAGGTTAATTAGTTAACATTAGTTAATGTATTAACTAACACGGACTAACCACCATGAGCAATACATTGTTCCAGTATTTTTTAATCTTTGTTAAATGTTAGTTAATAAAAATACAGTTGTTCATTGTTTGTTCGTGTTAGTTTAGAGTGCATAAACTAATGTTAACAAATACATCCTTTGATTTTAATAACATATTAGTAAATGTTAAGATTATTATTATTAACTAAGATTAATAAATGCTGAAGAAGTATTGTTCATTTAGTTCATGTTAACTAAGGTAGTTAACTAATGAACCTTATTGTAAAGTGTTACACATTTTATTGTTTTGTCTTATTATGTGTTATTACTTGTGAAGTGTTTGACAGGATACTTTTTTCTACCAAATCACAACAATATTTTTTTTTTTATGGATCAGGCCTTTAAAGGTCAAAGTATGTAATGTTGTAATCATGCTCACCTAATATTGGTCCCATCCAGTACACAAAACCATACTCTGCGAAAGTGTTTCCAGGACAGTGGAAGAGTATTGAGAATGCCAGTGCTGGGTTGAACACAGCTCCGGTGAGATGTCCACCTTTAAAACACACAGTAGCTTCCTGAACACAGTTGCACTGCAATTATAGCATATGAATGTTACTGAAATATCAATAGACAAGATCTGCATGCTTTAAAGAACAGACAGACAGACAGACAGACAGATAGACAGATAGATAGACAGATAGATATAGACAGACAGACAGACAGACAGACAGATAGATAGATAGATAGATAGATAGATAGATAGATAGATAGATAGATAGATAGATAGATAGATAGATAGATAGATAGATAGATAGATAGATAGATAGATAGATAGATAACTTTGATTTGACAATAAAAACACTGTCTGGTGGTCCTGAATAGTTATTATATTTGAACCATGGTACTATCGTGGAATTTTAGATTAGTGCACACACCTGCATAGACTAACATGGTGATGACAGCGGCTATTGCATGAACCTGATATTTCTCCTCCACTTTGTCCTGGTTGGACAGCGCAGAGTGGAATACAAACGCGCAGCTCAGCTCCACCGCGGCGGCCTGCAGCAGAGGGACATGAATGGGGCTGTTCGTGCATTTAAAGTCCATCAGTGTGTGCAGTTCATGCAGGTCAGAGAGCGCCAGTGACCACAGGCGAGGCATCACTAGCCGTGCCACCACAGCCGCGAGCATCTGGCATGAAATCTGTGCCAATGCGCGTCTGCGCGTGAGAGTCCCGCGGGAGAGCAGCTCCAGAGAGCCGGTGGGGCTACAGATCGCACCGTGGAAAGAAAGCATGTGGATCACCGAGATGAGGTACGTGAGGGTAAGTCCGATCTGCGGCTCCAGTCCGCCCACTTCCGCGAGCAGAACTAACTCGTGCGTGCACGCGCACAACTGAAAAGTGGAAATAAACTCCAGCACATAGGTGATCCAGTTACGATTTGGGAATAGATATGAAGCTGTCCTTCTCGCCACCTCGCTAAAACCTACAATTCCCACCAGTAAGGACAGAGAGACGGCGAGATTGGCCATCTCTGCCAGCTTCGTCCGGCCTCGCAACGAATAATCCTGCAAAACTCCTGTCAGGCAACTTTAAAGCGGTTCCACCTTTGCGCAATTTACCCCGCCTACTACAATTCAATCTGTGCAGGTACAATGGCAAAATACCTGACTCATGATGAACAGGGCTGGACTGGGACAAAAAATCGGCCCTGGCACTATGACCACCATAAACACAAGCGATCTTTGCACGTCCTTGAATATGTATAGCCTATTCCTTAAAATCACTAATGCCATGTAATTCGATACATAGTGACAATTTAACTATAGCCTCCACAGTGATGAATCCTAACTATCTATAAACTGCATTGGCATATAGGTGAAACTCGAAAAATTTTAATATTGTGCAAAAGTTCATGTATTTCAGTAATTCAAATTAAAAGGTGAAACTAATATATTTAGTATATATAACTATATACATATGCATGGTTATACTTTTCAGAAGGCTGACATTTTTTGTATTTAAAATCCTTTTTTTAAATTGATTTCCTGTAATATTCTAATTTTCTGAGATTTTGAATTTTTGGTTTTCATAAGCTGTAAGCCATGATCATCAATATTATAACTTTTGCACGATATTCTAATTTTTCGAGTTTCACCTGTACCAGTGTTTCCCACAGGATCATTCGTAAATCTGTGGTGAGTGGACCTCTTTCCCTCTACGGGGTTCGAGGGCATGCTCCCCCATAAGAAAATTTTGTGCTTTTTAATGTTAAATTCATTAAAATGGTGCACTTTGAGATTTCAAAATTAAGAGCTCCAACCCATATTCAGTGTGCAAATTGAACAAAGGAAACCTCAAAACTCTTCTAGTTGTGATAAAGTGTCTGTCTACATTACACGACTACATAATAATAGTTATAATATTAATCCCATGACAGTAATAGCCATATATTGTAAAACAAATGCACTGGAAAAATAAAAGAAACTTTCATATTGTACTAATTTCTATACTTGAAAGAGTTAAACGCATATCTTTGACGGAAACTGCATTGAGCTTCTATTTTGGCGGAAAACATGGTTTCCGTTGGTTGAAGTTTGGTTCTTTAAGAAATTTATAGCACCCTCCATATCCCTCCTCGTCTCCTCTCTCCTCCGTCCTCCATCCTATGACCCGGAAACCGATCGAGCTCAGCCATCTTGAAGGACATCTAATTTCTCTAATTGCACCGCGAGGAGTCGAGGATCGAGGATGAGGTTTCCTGAGGAGTCATGAGCGAGGATACACAGGTGTATCATATGCGGAAGTGTTTTATCGACTAAACTGATGCACACATAAATTCTCCTCCCCCTTCACGTCGGTCACAATCATTTGAATTTATACTTTACCTTTGCAGTTTATATAAACCACACATCTCACATATTTCAACAGTGTATCTTGCTTTATTATTATTTATTACTAATTTCTTAAATAACCAAACTTCAACAACATAAGGGCAGATCCTTTGAGCGCAGCCGATGGCGATGTGAAGTGACGCTCAAGTGATCAAGTATTCCAATGTATAAAAAAACTTTCATTCGATTCCTCCGTCCTCATTTTATTTCCTTGCAGCCTTCCCTCGCGTCCTACAGGGGGTGGAGCTGAGACGCGAGGAAAGGAAGCGAGGATGCACAAATAAGAATTGAGAAGTGTTCTGAAGTAGCCTAGTTCTGTTTACCGCAGTTCTCTTTTTTTGTTTTGTTTTTTAAGTATGAGATGTATCGGCCCAAAAAGCACGTCGGCCCACCGGGGAAAGTGCCCGGTCTGCCCGATGGCCAGTCCACCCCTGTCATAACTGCACATCTCCTGTGAATACAGAGGCTTTCTGTAAGCCTCCTTGGTAAGCCGTCCTGCTTAGGATTCAGGACACTTTAGGAGTCGTCTTGGTAAGGTCTTCGTCCTCATAGCTCAGCTAGGCATGCTAGATTGCTAAGGCTCTCTGAAACCCAGGCTCCCAGTAAAGCGTTCAAGTCCTCCTGAGTTCGTATTTATGAGGTGGGAAGTCATGTTTACGACGTCATGTGCGTTCAAGTCATTTTCGTCGGAGTAAGATGGAGTACTTTCTCTTAATTAATTACACAAAACTACAGCAAGGTTCTTAAAATCTACTTCCAGAAAATAAAGAACAAGGAATGTGCATCAGGTGTGTTTTGCTTTTGTATGTTTTTAATTAATTTATTGAAGACACTGTAAACTTTGTTACATATTATATTGATATATTATAATATCATATTCTGTGCAGGCAATTAACTTACTTCGCTGTAAATATTAAAGTCTAGAAATATTACTGCTAAAAATACCTTTTGTATTATTCCGCCATGTTTCTCACTGACACGCCCCCAACTCGTAAAGATCGGGGCCTAAAGAAAATCACAAAAGTTTGCGGCGTTCATGGGTTCAACTCTTATCTTTACGACATAATTTAAGAGTAAAAAAAAAAAAAAACGTTTTAGAAGGACAGAAGAATCACCCAATCACTGATTGTTCTGCAGTGACTGACACTGCGATGAGCCAATAGCAGCAGCGCATTCAGGTCGCGCCCGCGGCTCTGTCAGCGTGAGCAACAGACGAGAGAGAGAGCGAGTCAGACGAAGCGATCTCCAGAAACTCTCCGCATTAAACGATTGATTTAGAGAGAAAAGTGACTAAATATAAAGAAAGGATTGGATTTTTGAGTGGACGCGATACATTGGAGAAGCTGTCGGAGTGAGAAGAGGACGAGGCAGAGAATTAGAAATAGAGGCTGGTGAATGATGCAGATACACGGAGCAACAAAGCGTTGCTTTTCCTTGTTTAAACATACATTATTTTCTTTACTTGGTGAGTCATATTTCAATTATCAATTTGATGTTATGTTAACGTTAATTTGCACGTGGGCATAAAGGCCCATGAAACCCCCCTCTTTCAGCTCAAGTCCACCCACAATCTTTTTGAAAAATGCAACTTAAATGGGCGTGGCAGGAGAGGAAGAGGGGGGCGAGCAACTGTCATCTGTCAGTGGCCCATCCGAGACTCAATAAAAATTAGGGGTAAAACGTGAGGACATACTTTTGTATGGTTTTTATGTCTTTAAAGTCCAATGAAATACAATAACCACCTGTTTGAACTTTCAAAAGTAACTGAATGGCCTGCTTCATATTTTAGATTAAAATATGCCTGAAAAAATATTTTATGATGTTAACTTCAAATAATACTAATAGTAATTTAAAGATGTTAGCATTGGATCTGGACGGGAAGGATAACTCAAATCTTTTTTCGAGTCATTTCGTTCATTTCGTTCGTTGAATGAACGAAATGACCCGAAAAAAGATTTGTTCGTTTTGATGAACGAGTTCGAACAGGAGAGTCACGAACGTGCATCACAGAACAGAGCAAGGCGAGCATTTGTGCTTATAAAACTTAAACTTTTTTATTTATTTTTTAAATGACCGATCGTTCGCTAGATAAGACCCTTATTCATCGTCTGGTATCGTTTAAAGCCCTTTGAAGCTGCACTGAAACTGTCATTTGGACCTTGAACCGTTTGGGTCCTGTGGAAGTCCATTATATGGAGAAAAATCCTGGAATGTTTTCATCAAAAACCTTAATTTCTTTTCGACTAAAGAAAGAAAGACATGGACATCTTGGATGACATTGGGGGTGAGTAAATTATCAGCAAAAGTTTTTTTTAAAGTGAACTAATCCTTTAATAGGTGAGCTGTAACATCACTACATGACTTACCATTTTTTACAAGACCTAAGAAAATATCAGAAGATTTCACTGTGATAACTTGATATTCTATACGTTTCTTACACTGTTTACACACTCAGCAGGGATGAATTACGAACTGTTCCATATTTATGATTATGGGTGGAACTATATGACATCAGAAAGTAAAACTAAACTGATGAACAGGAAGCTTAATCAAACAGTAATGTTTTCAGAAAGGACTGCGACTGATAGAGGCAGCAGCAAAACTGTCATGTCACAAAAAAGGACGCATTCCCCCACTGGTGAAGAAAAAGAAAAAAAGAAGAAACGGCAAGATAAAGGTATGTTGAAATTATTAATGTTAACTAAATTAGGCTATGTTGCAAGCTAACTAAAGTTGGCTAGTTAATTAACAGTTAATTAAGTTAAGCTAGTTAATTAAGCCTAGGTACAACTCACCGTACATTCACATCATATGTAAGGACAGCTGTAGAGTTACACTCACGGGACACTGCACTTATTTGCAATCACAAAAGATCATTATTAGCATGTGTTTTAAAGCCTTGCCGGTTAAACATTTAATTTGCGAGCATGTACATTCAAAGCAGTGATTAAAGTGGTTAACTTTTAAGTGCCGTGCGTATGTGGGTGCGTGTACTTCTCCGTACTCTTTAACAGGATGCGGTCCCATCTTTTATGGTAATGGCTTTAGTGCCTGGTTACAAATCAGACAAAACGGACAAAAAGTTAGTCATTTAAACTACATTATAACGACCATTAATGTTTTTTAACTTGTATGTTTCATAGTAGCCTATGTAATTGAATAGATTGTGAAATTAAACGTTTCTCATTCTTAGTGTTTTTTTTATTTAGCTTACATACAATTCTGTTACTATACAATAGCTGTCTGTCTTTCTATAAAGCTGTGTGTACTGTAAAAAACGCTATACAAATAAATATATTACTTGATGGCAATTGTTTGTTAACATGGGTTGGCTATACCCAATGTTTAGATCTGTTTGGGTATTTATGCAAATTAGCACATACATAATTAGATTATGCACCGTTTGTCCATGTTAACAAACAATTAAAAAAAAACTTGTAATACATTTTTTATTTGTCTTGAAGTAAGTAATCAACTCAGTAGTTTTCATGGTGATATCTAAAGGTTAAAAATTTTACCCTATTCACGTGAGAAAAAGAATGAATGGGCGTATGAATAGGCTATATTTGGCTCTTTTTCAAAACGTTTCCCTAATGGGATTCTTCGGGGCTTTTTTCCCTTACTCATGACATATTGAGTTGAAAAATCAAAATCAGT